AAATGCCAGCTTCCAAGCATCCCTCGTAACAGAAATTGACAGAACGCACACGCGCGCGACTGCCGAAATTTGTCGAACACGCAATAACTAACATTTGCATGGAATTCAACATCGAGTTTCCCGAACAAGAATTTAAATTATGAGTTTTGCAACATGTATTTGTAAAACCAAATCTGAGCGCGCTCTTGCGAATTGTCACGAAGACAATGAGTTTGTCAAGAATTCCACCACATGCTACCAAGCGGGCCTCCCGCGCGCGCAAGTCGGAATCACTCGAACGCCCTCGCGCGCGTGCTTGGGGGAGAGGGGGCGGCGCGATCCTTGTCAAATAATGCCATGCGGGCGCGCGCGCGCGTCGAAATCCCTCCAATACCTTCATCACCGACGCGTGGGCGCAGATATCGTCATCGGCGCGATCAGCATCGGTGCCGCCAGTGGCCTTGCCGCTTCCATCGTCACCATCGTCGACAACATCGATGGTGCCATCGTCGCGTCTGCCGTCGTCGACGTCGACATGCTGCCGCGCCGGCCCGAATCGCCGATTCGCAATGAAACGCCCGCCCCGCGCGCTAGCCCGGCCTGCGAGACTCGCTGGGAGGTCCCCGGCGGTGAGCACCACCGCGGCCGCGTCGGTCGCACCAGACTAGCCAACCGCTCTGCGCGCGAACCTCCGCGCGCTAGCGCGGCCGTAGCGATGCGCCGGCCAGCGCCGAGCAATCATCGCAATCGCCGCGTGGGTTTCACAAGCCAGGTAGCGGGTGGGCGGGTGGGGCGATAGCGCGAGCAGTGGAAGGGACAATTTCAAATTCGGCAGGGCGGGTTGCGCGCCCGAGGTTTTCCCATTTGAAAAACGTGATCCACCACGCCTCCCCCCCCTTATCGCTTCCCCCTGGGGTAATGCAATGCGCGTATGGCTCTGCCCCATCGCTCAATGAAAATATGAACTCACACCATCCCAGCTGTACCCCCACCCGTCCTCCCTGTCAAAGAATACAATGCGCGCGCACTCGCTCATATAGAACAGCCGGCTTCCATGAATCCCTCGCAACAGAAATTGAAATCAACGCCCACGCGCGCGCCGTTGGGCGCGCGTGCGGAGACGAGCCGACAAAACACCAAACGTTCGCAAGGGTTTCAAAATCGAGCCCATCAAGACATGTTAAGATCGCTGGTTTTGCAACGTGGCTTTTGCAAGTCAATATGCGCGCTCTCTTGCGAACTCTTGAAGAATAACCATCGGTCTACTATCAACATAATATTCTTCAGCGCGCGCGACCAAGGGGGCCCCTCGCGCGCGCATGCCGGAATTATCCGCGCACCGTTGCGCGCTTGCTGGGTGGTGGTGGTGGTGTGGGGGGGGGGCGCAACCCTTGTCAAATGGAACCATGCGGGCCTCTCGCGCCCGTTGGCAGCGCTCGCTTGTCGAAATCCTCCCAACACCTTCATCACCGACGCGCGGGCGCCGTCATCGTCATTGGCGCCAACGGCATCGGCGCCGTCATCGGCCTTTCCGCCGCCATCGTCGTCGTCATCGTCACCCACACCTCTACTATCATCATCGTGCCTGCCCTTGTCGACATCGCCGTGATACCGCGCGCTCCCGAATCACCGACTCGAGCTGAAGTGCCCGCGCGTCAGCGCTGCCTGCGAGACGCGCCGGGAAGTCCCCAGCGGTCAGTGCCTTTTGGCCGCGGCAGTCGCGCCAAGACAGCGCGCGCCAGCGCGGCCGCAGCGATGCGCTGGCCAGCACCTAGCATTCATCGCAATCGCCGTCGCGCTTGTTTTGCACACCAAGTTGCGGGTGGGTAGGTGGGTTGATTGCGCGAGCAGTGAAGTTCACAACTCCCTGGTGAGCACTCGTGAGTTCTCCTTTCTGAACAGAACTTGAAATCTCCCACCCAGCCCCCAGTCTTATAGCTTACCCCTGTGACAGCACAATTTACAGATGATGCTGCCCCACCGTTCACTTTAGATGTGGCGTTTTACCATCCCAGCGGGGGGCCCTTTTTATCGACCCGGCCCCCCCATCGCCCGTCAAATAACAATTTGCGCGCGCACGCACTCGTTTACCAAAAATCAGCAATTTTCAAAAAGTCCCTTACCACAAGGGGAGACAAAGTCCACACGCGCGCGCCGTCACGCGCGCGCATGCCGAAATCGTTACAAAGCCATGAGGATCGTGAGAACTTCTAGATCGAGGTTCCCCGACACAACTAAACAACAACGTTTCTGCAACACTGTTTTATTAAGCAAGTGCGCGCGCGCTCTTGCGACGTCTTACAAACCAAGCAAACAACATACGTTTTTGTGTTGAAATTGGCCTCTCGCGAGCGCATGTGGGCATCATTTGAATGCCTTTGCGCGCGTTGGCGGGGGAGGGGGGGGACACGACCCATGTCAAAGAAATCTATGCGGGCCACGCGCGCCCGCCGGCAGCACGCGCATCGCCAATTCCGCCGAAAACCTTCATCACCGACAAACGGATACCATCATTATCATCGGCGTGAAAAGCACGGGGACCGTCGTTGGCCTTGCCGTCGTCATCGCCCTCATCGCCACAAACATCGCTACTGCCATCATCGTGCCTGCCATTGCCGACGTCCCCGTGACACCACGCCCGCCCGAGTCACCGACTCGCTCTGAAAGGCCCGCGCGTCAGCGCTGCCTGCGAGACGCGCTGGGAAGTCCCCAGCGGTCAGCGCCACCACGGCCGCGTCGGTCGTGCCAGACAAGGTGGCCGTTCTGCGCGTGAGCCTGCGAGCGCTATGCGTGGCCGTAGCGATGCGCCAGCCAGCGCCAAGCAGTCATCGCAATCGCCGCCGCATGTGTTTTACAAACCAAGTTGCCTGTGGGTGGGTGGGATGATTGCGCGAACAATGGAGTTGACAACTCACTGCGAACACATTGTAATAGCAGCACATAGATTGCACCGCGTAAATTGGACTGAGCCACATAGATTGCGCACAACACAGATTGCACTGCATATATTGCACCACGTAGATTCCACAACATAGATCGCACCACATAGCTTGCACCACATAGCTTGCACGACATAGCTTGCACATGTTCGCACGGCATTGATTGCTCCACAATTGTTGCCCAACATCTATTGCACCACATAGTTTGCACAACATGTACCGCGCGACATATATTGTACAACGTAGATGGCCCAGCATAGGTCTCACCACATAGGTCGCACAACATGCATTGCACCGCGCATCCTGGATCACATAGATCGCACAATATATATCGCATCACATATATTGCACTACATATCTTGATACATCTTGCACCACATAGATTGCAAGATACAGTTTGCACGACATAAACAGCTTCACAAATATTGCCCGACACATATTGTACCACAAAGACTGCACCACATGGATCGCGCGACAAATATTGCACAACGTAGATGGCACAACATAGATCTCACCACATCGGTTGCACGACATATAGTGTGCCTCAACTATTGCCCCACGAAGGTTGCACCACGTATATTGATCCACAGAGATTGCTCGAAACGGCACTGCTTGGGATCCACCCTGGCTGACATATGTGTGTATATAGTTCTACAGATACGCATACATGTATGTTTAGGCGTATGCGGTAATAAGATTGGACTTGCTTCTTTTGTCGACGCCGATCTTCACGACGCCCTTCTGACTCTCGCGTCAAGCTGCCCCACCCTGTGTATCGAATGTTGCTTCTTCTACTGCTCTGGGTCATCGTCCTGCCTTTTGCAGAACCTAATCGTATTAACTGGCTGCAACAACCACGGCGCTGTCTTTGGGCACGCTGTCCATGGCAGCCGGCTCTTTGTCCCAACTGCCAACCGTCGTACCTCCAGCGGTCACGTTGCCACGAACATCATCGGGCATCGACTCTGCTTCCTCGACGCTGGTTAGGAAGAAGAAACAATTGCATAAACATAAACATTTGGAGGTCCGCGTGGATTTCGTGGATCTGCACTGATCCCCCCCATTCCCTGGCGCGAGGGGCCCCCAGGGGCGGCGCCAGAGGCGCCGCCAGGGGGGGCAAGAGCGCAGATCCCCCAGAGATCCGCGCGGAGCTCCGAGAGTTCCTGCTGCTGCCGCTTCTGCTTCCTCGACTGGTGCTCGTCCGCTCCGCTGCCGGCGCCTCCACGCCCTCGCCCGCAGCCCCTCCCGAGACGGCCGCAGGACCAGCACCTTCGGGGTCAGCGCAAGACGAAGCCAGGACGAGGACAACACCGGTAAGGATTACTCGAGAGTCTGAGAGAAATCTGGCGGCTCTGGAGGATGGCTCGGGCGCCGCGGCCTGCTCAGAGCGGTCCGGAACGCTCGGAGAGCGTTCCGGAACGCTCTGGAACGGATTCATCCTCGTCCTGGCCCCTTCCGACCTCCCGAGACTTGAGCAGGGACCGACCGTCCCGGCATTCCTATTGGCCTATCACGACATGTTCTTAGAACCGAGAAATCTATCAAAAACAAAATCAATTGTTTAAGAGCATAAACCCGATGTGTAAAACAAGACAGTCCCAGCCAGAAATGTTCTAAGAACATTTTGTGCAGACCACAAAAGGTTCGTCGACCATTCTTTGGTGGGCCTATAGGCAAGCCAGGACGCCTCGCCACTGCTTGAGAGACGGCCGCAGGACCAGCACCTCCGAGGTCAGCGGCCCCGCGAGCTGCCGCACCTGCGGGCTGCCGCGCCGCGGCGCCAGCAGCACCGGCCGCGGCCTCCGCGGCGCCACGGAGCCACGGGCCGCTGGGGGCGGGCGGCTCACCCGCCGCCCTGCCGTCGGCGATGCTGCCGCCGGCCCAGCCAGCCAGCCCAACCTCTGGAGGCGCGCAACAGGCCTCGGAAAAAACAGCGAGCACTCAGGCCACACTCCTCGGTCAACGCCTCCCCCTCCCCCCTCCCCCCTCACTGTTCAAAGTTGGCGGTGGGTCTGATGAGTTGCACTTCGACCGCAGTCCCCGCCGCGCGTGCCAGATTTGAGTTTGGGGGAGGGGGGGAGT